GCATGCTAAAACACCAGAATAGTCCAAAACGTTTGTCGGCACCAACGAGAGACTTGGACCATTTAGTAGGCCTGAAATTTCTCCAGTCTTTGGCATTTCCACAATGCTTTTAGTCAACTACTTCATTCCAACCCATTCAAGTGAGGAAACAATATTTTCTGCATTAATTTGATGAAATGAATTATATCGATCGATATCACTAAAATGACTCCCACATTTAATTATCATATGATAAAACCTGTTACATTTTAATTTTGATTTAAATGATAAAAGATGATAACAAAAAAGTAACTAAAAAAAAAAAATTGGACTTATGGTTAGACTTTTGACTTAAAACACAGGATTGAATGATTGTGAATTATTTCATATTTCTCCGTAAGGAGGATATTTATACAAGTACAGGTTGACTTTCCTACAAGGAATCCTAACTAGGTAACTACTCTAATTAGGCAACGTGAATTGCACAAGGAAATCAGGACTCGTGCCAACATTTTGATCTATACATACTATAAGATTAAAGAGCACGTACGTTAATGCTATAAGAATTCATTCTTTAGTTGCAACATCGCTTTTGGAATAGCCAAACAAATTGAATATCTTTGCCTAGGGTGTCACCACCGAACCTCCACTTCCGAGATAACACCACATAATATGTATTTGCTAGATATAAAAAAAAAAAAAATTAATACAATGCTAACTAATTGTTGGGGTCTACTTAATAATATTATTAAAATAATCCGAAGCTTTGATTTTTTATATCATGAATTAACATTCAACATATAACTGACAATAAACTAGTCTATATATTGTTTTCAAGGGAATAGACCATTCTCTCTGCTAAACTCAAAGGTGCAGAAGATACCAAGTATGTGCTCAAAACTGTTGATTAATATTCAAACACAGTTGTTATGAGAGGTACTTGTCTATTTATCATTGTCCACATTCCGAGCCACCCCAAGGAAATTTCCTTTCAGGTGAAGAAGACTAATCAAATTTCCGAAAGGTTTTTGGGCCTAGTGAAGCAAGAAGCCAAGTGCAGGCAACATAGAGGAAGACTTTGACCATATACTCATGTTATGTGGTTCTCATCGTATTCCAAAAGAAAAAAAGGACAAAAAGAAAAATAGAACAAAGAAAGTTCAATAAGAACTAAACACTTGTTCCACAATAGACAACTACTTAACTTGGGAATCTCTCCAACCCACTCCTCAAGTCAGGAAATATTTTCTGCATTAACGATTATTTGGACTTTTTAATACAATGCCGACCAGTGGTTTGGGTCCACTTAATAGTATCATTAAAATGGATCTGAATTATCTTCTTAGATTTCTCTCTATCATGATATACTTAAATTGGGTTGATAAACGAGGAAGTTTTAAATTGGGACATTTTGGAAAAAGCAAAAGGAGAGAGAAAAATTTTAAAAGAAGCAAAAATGGACAAAAATGCCCTTATTTATTTGTAGATTTCCTAAGGAATCCAATACATTTATATGTCTTTGATTTGAAAGTTGAGTGGTTTTTTTTGTCTTTTTTGAAAAAGTTTTGGCTTTTTCCAAAAGTGAAATTTTTTTTATGTCTAAAACCTAAAAAACCTTTTAAAAATTTCATCCCAAAGCCAAAAAATTGACACATCAAACATAGATTATTTTTAAATAAAACAAAATGGCTGCACACCCAAAACAAACTTTACGAAACGTTAAAACAGATTGTTGCTCTCTTCCCATCGCCTCCCCCTTTCACCTTCAAAAAGCAAACCAAACCATACAAGAAGATCCAGCAGCTCATAGCTATGGCATGTTCTTCAAATTTCACACTGCAACATGTTTAAAGAATACAAGTGTCTTAGTTACGCAATTCAATTTTGCTTCAATATCTTGCAATTTCTCTCACCATACACAAGATTTTCTTCCTCCATTCCAAGTACGAGATACGATGGTTTTAAAAGAAAAACATATGAAATAATCAAATCTGACAATTTGCCCATTAATCAAAACCTAATAAAGTTCACAAGTAATCTTCGGTAGTTTCCCATATATATTATAATAAGCTAGAGATGTTTTTTTTTTTGGTATTTCTTTTGTGGCCAAGATTGGAGATTTGATTGTGTCTCGGTGCTTACCCACCCAAAATTCATGGTATCTTCCAATTTGTTACTATAAGAAAAATATTATGTTAAATTTCAGAGAGATAGGTCATCGGCCCACTACTAACAACACCGATATTGTTCCCAACTTAACCACCTACAAAGCCCAATAGGTGTGGGATTTTATCACAAAAGTCCTCGGTGATATTAGTAATAGAACCATTCATTATATGTTGTATTTTATTTGTTCAAGTTTTTGATGTGGAACTCATATTCTTCAACACGCCCCCTCACATGGGACCACCACATAGTGGGCCACACGTGGAGGCAAGTCCGTATTGGAGTCAATCATTCAAGCCCAACACGTGAGCACCACATATTGGGTAAAGGGTAGGGGTAAAAATTGATAGAGGCCCAATTCAGGCCCAGTCAATCAACCCATTCTGATACCATATTAAATTTCAGAGATACGGGTCAGCGGCCCACTACTAACAACACCGATATTGTCCCCAACTTAACCACCTACAAAGCCCAGTAGGGGTGGGGTTTTATCGCAAAAGGCCTCAGTGATATTAGTAGTAGAACCATTCATTATATGTTGTATTTTATTTATTCAAGTTTCCGATGTGGGACTCATATTCTTCAACATATTAAGCATAAAAAAAAAAAAGGTATTCAATTGTTGGTGTCATTTTGAAAGCATGAATAAGAATTTATGGAAGAAACAGTTGAGAATTTGTGGGAGGGAGAAGCTATAACAGAAAAAAGAAAGAAAGAACGAATTCTTCTTTCCATTTATTTATTTATTTAAGGACTTTTCTTATTGAGAGTGGCAATAGTATACTAAATACACACACAACAGAAATACTAGGACTCGAATCCATGACCTTGCCCAGGGGAGCAATTGCTCCAAACCACTACACTAGTGGGTCCTTTGCATTTATTTTAAGTGTGAGGCAATTGGTTTTTTAATTATTGAAGTGTGATGTGTCATTTTTTTTGGCTTTTGGATGAAATTTAAATGAGGTGGCATAAGAAGACTTTATTGATTGGGGGAGATATTGACCCAAAAAACAAAAATGATTGGGGGAAGATGTTGCAAACAAAACAAACAGGAAAGGGGGAGAGGTTGAAGAGATAGGAAATAGAAAGAAAAAAAAAAAAAAAAAAAAAGGGAGAAAAAAAAAGAGGCAAATGACGGCAGGAGTTATGGTTCAGACTGTTAAGTTGCATTAGAGTTTTTTTTTTCTTTTTAATTATGAAAAAATTCCAATCCATTTGATTAAAATTTTAATAAGGTGGCATAAGTCCTTAAAAGTCACTTTACAAAGGGCTAAATTTGTCCTTAAAATTTTGAAGATAAGGTGAGTGGGGAAATAGGACAGGAGGGTGGAAATAGTAGCACTCGGCATCTAATTGCGATAAAAGAATAATAGATGAACATATTACTTCATATAAATAATAATAAAAATTCATGATAATAATTAAATGAATAAACGATTTTTTATTTGGCTAATTTTTTTATAGCTCTTGAGTTTATATATATCTCCAGATAAATGATTCTTGGTCCACTCCCATCAACATGACAATAAATTAATCTATATATTGTTTTCAAGGGAATAGACCATTCTCTCCACTAAACTCAAAGGTGCAGAAGATACCAAGTATGTGATCAAAATTGTTGATTAATATTCAAACACAACTATGTCTATTTATCATTGTCCACATTCTGAGCCACCCCAAGGAAATTTCCTTTCATATGAAGAAGACTAATGAAATTTCCAAGAGGTTTTTGGGCCTAGTGAAGCAAGAAGCCAAGTGCAGGCAACGTAGAGGAAGACTTGACCATATACTCATGTTATGTGGTACTCATCCTATTCCAAAAGAAAAAAAGGTCGGAAAGAAAAATAAAACAAAGAAAGTTCAATGAGAATTAAACACTTGTTCCACAATAGAGAACTACCTAAGGTTGAGAATCTCTCTAACCCACTCCTCATGTCAGGAAATATTTTCTGCATTAGTGATTATTTGGAAAGTGGGTTATATGGCCTTTCATGGGACCAAGTTGATCTTTTAGGACTTAGGCATTTCTTCGGGCTAATTTGGTCGGTTTTACTACCTCGACCCAAGCCCACTCATACGGGCCGGACTATTAGGGCTTGAACGTGTTGTATAGAATTTGGTTGGGCTGGGTTGGGCTACAGTGGGTTACTTAAGTTGGATTGGGCTAAGGCTGTTTTTTTATTTTTTGTTGAGAATTTCATGATAAACTAAACATTTATAAAAGATTAATTAACATAATATATATATATATTAATTATAACATGTAAACATATTTATGCTAGGATCAAATACAGAGTAAAGCTGCTAACTTTCCCTTACATAGATCCATATCTTGATTAATATTAATTCACTTCATTTGCATCAGCAATAAAAGTAATTTCTACAGATTCTGAAGCACCTGATGCACAGGGACTTGGATTGTCCACACCAACTTCATCTGCAAGAATTTGTTGTGGATATAAGAAAGGCCTTGGAGGCATTTGGAGGCTCTCAATTTCTTCTTCGAGCATTTCGACTACTTTATTCATTGAAAAGTGTTCGATATGCTTCATTCGAATTCCATAGAAGCACTTCCAGCAGTTTGCCTCTTGCCATGACAAAAAAAAAGCGGGGGGGGGGGGGGGGGGGGGGGGCTAGGGCAGCTACTATTCACATGTCGGATAAGATTTTCAGTTTCAAATTTCAGATAATTTTAAATTTTAAATTTCAAATTTCAGATTAACAAAACAAAAAATACAATGAAATGAAAGGCAAGCAAACTAAGAAATGAAAGACAAGCAAACTAACTTAATGGTTTTAATCATTCTAACTTCCAAAATTGTTTTCTTTCAGGGGACATATGGCTTGTATCCATGGCCATGATAGCCCTCTTCGTCATTGTCGGCTGCATCCTCCTCGTCGTCTGGCTCATCCTCCGCCCCAAGGTCCCCGACTTCCGAGTCGACTCGCTTTCTCTCTCCAACTTCAACGTCTCCTCCTCCTCGCAGTCCGTGACCGGCACGTGGTCCGTCGGCTTCATGGTCTACAACCCCAACAAGAAGCTCAGTATACGATACGACGACGTCGAGTCCTCTATCTACTACGGCCCCGGCTTCATTTCGGGGACTCGGATTCCGCCGTTCGCTCAGGGGACTAAGGATCGGACGTCTGTCAACGCGACTTTCTCGGCGGCGAATTCGTTCGTTGGCGCTCCGATGGCGCGCGGCATCGACGCGGACAAGGCGCGTGGGAGCGTGAGCTTCAACGTGAGGCTTTTGGCTAAGGTTGAGTTTCTGAGAGGTGGGTGGAGGCTGAGGCGGCGGCTCTTGAAGGTTTTGTGCCGTGGTGTGGCGGTTTCTCTTTTGTCGAAAGGCGGGCTGGGTACTTTGGGCGGTGGGTCAAGAGATTGCCAGGTTGTTGTTTGAGATGGGGGCAATGCGTGTGGTGCAAATGGTAATTTTATTAATCTCTCACTTTTCAATTGTGACAAGTTAGGAACGAGGAATGTGTTGTTGTATAATTAGTAGTAAGATGAGTTTATGGATTTAGGTTAAGTTGTTGTATATATTTTTAACTACAATTCTTTTGTTGTTTCTGGTTAGTGATGATTGCAATTGAGTTTGTTTTATTTTTTTCTCCTCCCAAAATACTACATCTTAGTTGAGCTTGTTTGCTTGTTCTACTCTGTTGATTATTGTTGTCTTTTAGAGACTTAAACCTTGCGCATTTCACAAAGTTATTGTGAGCTGTGCGGCTGTGCGAGGGGGATGTTTGACAGAGGTCAAGCAGAGCTCATTAGCCTTTAATGGAGGCTTGCTTATCCTAGACCTAGAGGATTTGAAAATGGATGGAGGCAACATTATTTAGTAGAAACTAGAAAGAAACAGAGTAGTTGCTTAGAACATCTGTCTCATGCTTGTTTTTGCTTTGGTTATTAAACTCGTCGAATCCACCTTTGCTGATCCTAGTGGATTTGAAAATCAAGATCTTTTTTTAGGGTTGAGGATGGGATCAATGATCTAATAACAGAGCTTCTTTTTTTTTTTCTCCAGTTTTAACAGCAACGTCTTCTACTTCTGTGACGTGTGTTATCCAAGAAGATTATACCATTCTACCACTTATCAGATTGGTTTTGTTGCGGTTTTTTCTTTTAATTTATTTGTTAATCGAGTTTGTCTGCCATATTTTTATGTAAAGAATTTAGAATTTAGTGACATTGGCACTTCCCTTTGGAAGGTCTCTCCAGTCGGCCCACGTGGATTTGCAGCTTAGGCTAATGTTTTTTAAGCTTTTTCTTCGTTCCTGTCCGTGGTTCAGTCGTGTAGTTTGCACTTTTCAATCTTTAGCCCAAATTGCTGACTCCATTAAGCTCTAGTTCACAAAAGGGGCATGGTATTTCCACATCAGAGTTGCATCAGATTTCAGCCCTAGAAATTAAGGAGGTTAGGGATTTGCACTAAGGTTTTTGAGTTTGAGTTTGAGTTTGAGTTTCACTTTGGTCCAAATCCAAGTGTGTAGCTTTACTCTGGGTCTGTAAACTCTTACATATGGTTTAGTCATTGTCAGTAGAACTGGATTCTAATTCAGATATGGAGATTATTTGATGTGTCGGGTCTTGTTTAATTTTTTTTGGGTCAAAATCTCAACACCTTATTTTCCTTGTTCGTATTTTTCATTGCCATTATTGCTAGAAGGACCTTACATTGCATTCCTAATTGGCAGGCATTTTCTCAAACAAAGTCTATGCTTCTTCTAATAGCTTCAAGTTCCATTGGCATTTTCTCAAACAATGTCTATCCTGTTCTTTGCACATCAACATAGCTACCAATAACCAAAGGCAGAGGCTAATTATTTACTTAACTCAATTACATGTAAATTAAAAATATTTGTGCTATGATCAAATACGAAAAACATGTTTAACTGGCCCTTAAGTAGAGCTGCTAAATTTCCCTTACATACAGCCACATCGTGACTAATATTAAAACACTTAATTTGCATCGCAACCAAACTAATCTCTTCAAATTTTGAACCACTTGATGCACAGGGGCTTGGATTGTCCTCACCAACTTCATCTGCAGGAGTTTGTTGTTGGATATAAGGAAGGCCTTCGAGGCATTTGAGGGTTCTCAATGTCTCCTTTGAGCGTCTCCACTATTTTATTCATTGAAGGGTGTTCACTAGGCCTCATTTGTACGCACCATAATGCCACCATCATCATCTGCTTTACGATCTTCTTTTCCTTATTTGTTGCATCACCTCCTATTTCTATGTCCTTTCCTTCTTTCAACTGATCAGAA